AAAAAGCATATGAAGAAATGCTCAATATCCCTCATCATAAGGGAGATGCAGATAAAAACCACAATGAGATACCACCTAACCCCTGTCAGAATGGCAAAGATTAAGAATATAAAAAGTGATAAATATTGGCAGGGATGTGGTGAAAAGGGAACTCTCTTACACTGTTGGTGGAAATGTAAACTTGTTCAGCCACTGTGGAGAACAATCTGGAGGTTTCTCAAAGATCTACAAATAGAACTGCCATTTGATCCAGCAATCCCACTTCTGGGTATCTACCCAAAGGACAGGAGAACACTCAGTCAGAAAAGTGCTTGCACATCAGTGTTTATTACAGCATTATTTACGATTGCCAAGACATGTAACCAACCCAAATGTCCACAAACCGATGAATGGATTGGAAAAATGTGGTATATATACTCTACAGAATACTACTCAGCCATAACAAATAACAAGACCCTGGCATTTGTTAGAAAGTGGTCAGATATGGAGGACCTATTGCTGAGTGAAGTAAGCAAGGCTATGAAAGAAAGATATTGTATGTACCCACTCAATGTATACCGACTAGCCGCACTCTATGGTAGAGAGCAAATTATTGGAGGACATAAAAGCAGTGAAAATACTTAAGGAGAATAAGACAGTGTGGAATTGGAGGGGGAGTGAAGAGAAGAGGATAGAGAAAGATAGCAAGAGAACAAATAGAGAGGCATGACATTAGTGGGACACAGATAAATGGCTTATTACCTGTTGATGACGACGTGTATAGTATTCTCAACTGAATTGCTCTGAGAAGTATTTCATGATGGGTAAAGTCTTTTTACAAGCAAAATGATAAATAGTGATTGACTGGTTAAAAATAATTGGAATAATAATAATAATGAACGGGAAAAACAATGAAAAGATATTGAATGATGAAGTGGGAATTTTAATGTCTCTGTATTTAATGTCAAATGAGCAGACTGACATGTATGGCATTCCCTTTTGAAAAAGCAATGTAATACACTGTAAAGTTATGCAATTCAGTGTAATATAAACAAGATTATGATGATAATATATAAAAAATAAATAAATTTATGTCATAACCATCTTTGAGGCATTATCATATCATACAAGGATGAGTATGTTTTATAAAAAAAGTCAAAGTAAATAAGGTCTTTTGCCTCAATTGTTAGCTATGTTCACACTGAATAGAGTTTCAATATCTAGGAAATGAAACAACTGGATACTGTTTAAAAAAAAGCATGGTTTAAAAAGAAGGAAAAATCAATGGAGAAAATACATAGTAGAACAGATAGTGAATTTTGCAATGCAGTTTTGGGATAAAGAAAAGGGAAGTCAAACTTTTTGAGCACTGGGTTTGCATTTCAGTTCATGAGGAAGAGTGGAGCAGAAAGAAGCCTGATCATACTCACTGCTCATCTCTCTGACTTAGAGATGATTTATTAAATCAAAGATGGACAGATTGTTGAATGCCATCTACCTGGACACAGGGTCATACTCCCGTGGAAAGCATAAAGGTGCTTTCAGCTATGCCAGGAAAGAGGTTGGTGAAAGCTTCTCAGAACAAAACAGTTTTGCTGTCGTTTTTCTAGAGCACTCTTGTGACTGAACCTCTGGGGTCATAACTAGTTTCAGATTAATAGGGATCAGGGCCCAGCTCCATGACCTGGTCATTAAGGCCCCATGCCTTGAGTCCTGGACCTGGCAGATAAGTTTATGCCTGCCACCTTCAAGCCTGTCTAATTTGGATTTAGAAATCCTTGGGCTATAGCTTAGAAATATCAACTTGATTTTTCCCAGGCTAGATTGGTAGGATGCTGGATTTACAATTTACGAAGTCATAACTAGAGATACGAGCTTGGGCATGCTGACAAAATATGTTCCGCCTAATCTTTATATTCTCCTCTAAGCCTACTCTGACCTATACTTCCATAGTATCTTGAAATTTCATGACAGATAATCATATTTTTAAGTATGCATGTTTAAGAGAAAATTTTACTTCATTAATGGTTTGTAACTGGATATCAAAATTGATATAGTATATAGGTCAAATGAGCAGACTGAACTGAGCATCTTGATAGAAAGTGTTGTTTTGGTATCATATTGTACTGTTACTGTTTTGCATGTGATTTTCAATATACATGGAAGAGATATTAATGCAAGGGGTCTTCACAAAGTTGGTGGAAATATGCATATTATGAAAAAACTATGAACAGATTTAAAATATTTTTTTCAAGAAATTAAAGTTATAGGAACCGGCAGTTAGTGTAATGGCTATGTTGCTGGACTCCCATGTAGTCGACCGCAGTTTGCGTCCCGGACCCGGCGGCTTAAAACTCACACCGGGCACGTGTGCATGCGTGCCCAAGATCCCGAGAGGAGAATGGAGGAGAAGGGATTGCGGCGTGGCCACCCCCCCAGGGGGGTGATTTCTCGCTTTCTATCTCTGTCTCTCTATGTCTGTCGAGCGCACGTGCCCTATAGCAAAAACCTCTCCAAAGGAAAAAAAAACAACTCATGCCGGGCACATGTGTGTGCATGCCCAAGATCCCTAGAGGAGAACAGAGGAGAAGGGATTGCAGCATGGCCATCCTCCCTGGTGGGTGATTTCTCACTTTCTGTCTCTTTGTCTCTCTCTGTCTGTCTGGTGAGTGCACACATGCGCCCTATAGCAAAAACCTCTCCAAAAAAAAAAAGAAAGAAAGAAAGAAAGAAAAAATCCCGAGAGGAGAATGGAGGAGAAGAGATTGCGGTGTGGCCATCCCCCCTGGGAGGTAATTTCTTGCTTTCTGTCTCTCTGTCTCCCTCTGTCTGGCAAGCGCATGCGCCCTATAGCAAAAACCTCTCCAAAAAAAACAACAAAAAATGTTTTTTAAGAATTATTTTAATTTAATTGAACTTAATTAAATTAATTTATTTATTTTAATTTGCCCAGAGAGGGACAGAGAGAGGAAGAGAGAGAGAAAGCAAGCCGCCAGGTTCAGGACTCGAACTGTGGTCGGCCATGTGGGAGTCCAGTGCCCTTAACCACCATGCCACCTGCTGGCCCCATCAAAAAATGTTAACAAGGTGTTTTTCTTTTTTTATCAATGGCAGAGCTCTGAAGTATTTCCTTACTCAAATAAACAAATGATCTCTTTTCTACACTAATGTCAGTGTACTTGATATTAATGAAGAACCTAAGCCTTATTCAATTGATATAACTGCACATTCAGAATTAAGGAATCAATCCATGGTAATTTATTTTTTAATATAAAATAAAATAACCTAATGAAAATGTTACATCTATCAATATGTCTGGTTAGTTCTATATGTATTTTTGGACGAACATTTTCACAGCATTTTGGCCTATCAAATGAAATTTGTACTTAAGGCATTCCCAATTTTCTTCTTTACACCATGTTCCTGATGAAGAAACCAGAATCACACCACAACACTTCAAAGAAACTGTCAGAAAATGTTAACATGCTGAAAACATTCTCCCAGAATGGCATGAAGATGAATTAAAATCAAATCTTTTTTACTTAGCTGTCCAGTCTAGGCTTAAAAAAATAGTTTCTTTCTTACCACTGAGCTGGTAGTAACAGTTTCTTTTATTTTTGATACTTTAACTCGTAATTTATCCAATTCTTTCTTCTTTGTTAAAGTTTCCTTCCTCTTAAGTTCACATATCTTTTTATATTCTTCCATCTATATTGACAAACATAATAAACCAATCAAAGAGCCTATTAACACAACAAAGTTTAAGAGATCTTTTTTTTTAAGCTTGTCAGCCTAGTTCATTTTCAATCTAAGTTTAACATGAAAAAAAATTAAATAACACAAAATTGGAGTTTGTTATTTCGCAGTATTACAGAAGAAACAATGCACCACAATGGTCAAACTGTCATTACAAAATATTGAAGCAGTAACTTCTGGGCAGGACTTTTGTCCCTAGATAGTTACCATAAGCAAAGGGCTACACAGTGTGACACCTCCTGTCACTCATATTCTTTCCCACCAGTTGAGACACTGCTATGCAATCAAATGTCTTGAGGGGTCAAGTGTCCTTTTTCTCCTTCTCTATCCCATCTCAATATTCTCAGAAGATACCACCAAGAATGTTTGTCAGCGTTGGGGACAAATAAGTGGTTTCTCATATCCTGCCTCAGATTCTACACAATTCTGTATTTAAAAAAATAAATCATGGGGGCCAGCAGGTGGTGTGGTGGTTAAGGTGCTGGACTCTCATGGGGCTGACCATGATTTGAGTCCTAGACCCAGACATTTAAAACTCATGCCAGGCAGGTGTGCGTGCATGCCCAAAATCCCAAGAGGAGAATGTAGAAGAAGGAATTGCAGCATGGCCATGCCCCATGGGGGGTGATTTCTCACTTTCTCTGTCTCTGCCTCTCTGGGGAGCACACACACCCTCTAGCAAAAATCTCTCTTTTTAAGTATCATGCCACTCACCTTCGTAGCCAATAGGTCTTTTTTCAGCAAATAGTCTGATCTTTCTTTTTCCATTAACTCCTCTGTTTCTTGAATACGTCTTTTTTGCAGTTCTAGTTCTTCTTTCTCCAAGTTAATTTTGGTGTAAGTCTCATTAATGTAAACAGTGGTGCTGGCTTTTTCTTCCATTGTGTGGTTGAGCAACAGGACAAAGTGTGCGTGCTTTTTTGCTAGCTCTTCTTGCTTTTCACTAAGAGGAAAGTAGGGCTCTTAGGAGAGGAACTTAAAGTCTGTTTGGTGAGATGAGCCCACATACAGAGGGAAATTGTAGGGGATATTTATATTTATAGCTGTGTTTGTGATTTTTTTAAACTTGTGAGACGTGGACAGAAGAAAACATAAAATAAGCGTGAACCAGGACCAGCAGATGATGGTGTAATAGGTCGCTGGACTCCCACATCGTCTATCGCAGTTGGGAGTCCCAGATCCCACAGCTTAAAACATGCTGGGCGCATGTACCTGTGTGCCCAAAATCCCAAGAGGAGAACAGAGGAGAAAGGATTGTGGCTTGGACTCCCCCTGGAGGGTGATTTCTCCCTTTCTGTCTCTGTCTCTTCAGTGAGCACACTATAGCAAAAATTTCTCTCAAACAAACAAAAGTGTCAACCACACAATTGTTAACCACTGCAAAAATGTTACGGGGCCATGCCCCCTGAGTGCGCCAAGTTGTAACTATGGGGTATTTTGGTTTAAAGCATAGAGTGATTCAAAAGCAATTCTGAACAGGTAAATGGGATCCAGTCAGATGAATGTTTCGTCTGTACCCTCACCATTTCAGTCTTCTCATTCTGAGGTACATAGTCAAGTCAAAGAAAGATAACAATCCCACCACATCTCTAGCCACCCACTGAAGCCTACAGGAAGACCCCGAGAGAAAGCTAGACTTCCTCTGGAAAGAAGGTAGGGAAGGAGGAGACCGAGTCCATCTTCACCATCCAGAGGATGCTTGAAACCTGATTTGAACCTTATCTTCTCCCACACAGCCAAATCTGACTTCAAGAGGAATCTTTCCTCTCACACCCGTTTCTGGCTACATCCATCTAAGGAATGCTTTAAGATTGGGAGAAAAGTGCTAGCAGGTGGTGTGGTGGTTAAGGCCCTGGACTGCCACATGGCTGACCCTGGTTCAAGCCCCAGACCTGGCAGCTTGCTTTCTCTCTTTCTCTAGTGAGCACTATAGTAAATTTAAGATAATAATAAATACAATAAAATAAATAATTCCTAAAAAAAAGTTTGGAAGAAACATGTATCCCCAGGTTAACAATAAAAGAGTGGAAGGCGGGATAATGGGTGCCATTTCTGTTTTCATTTTTTTCTTTTTGGTTTTGTTTGTGTGTTTTTAATTTAATGGAGGGCATGTGCTCTTGCAGGAGTGAAAAAGAGAGAAGGAAAGTATAAAATAATCCCCAAGGGGATTGTCATGCCACAATCCTTTTTCCTCCATTCTCCTCTTGGGATTGTGAGCACGCACTCATACTCGCCCAGTGGGTTTTGCAAGCTGATGGTCTGGGACTTGAACCTCACTGTTTTCCATGTCCAACCACCGCACCACTGACTGGCCCTCTGTTTTCCTTTTAGAAAAGCTCCAGCAATGTAAAAAGACCTTTCTTCCCTTTTCTAGTCCCCAGGTTAGAAACTTTAATTAAAGAGAGTGAGGGGAAGGTTATGTTTGAAGGCTCAGAAAAATGGAACAGGCAGTTGGGAAATTTATTTTCCAGAGGTCAAACTCCCCAATGGAAATGTGATAAAAAGAAACTTAGGGAAGAGGCTCAGAGAGGAGTCAGATAACAGGTGTCCCATCCTACAGAAAAAGGCTTCTAAAGGAAACCTAAGGATGAAAAGACACTCAGGAAAGCAAAGCAAACAAAATTAAAAAGTCTAATCCAAAAACCTAACTAGTATAGATTGAGAAGAGAGCATTCAAGAACAAAATGCAGGGACCAGCAGTTAGCGTAATGGCTATGTCGCTGAACTCCCATGTAGCTGACCACGGTTCGAATCCCAGACCTGGTGGCTTAAACTCACACCAGGTGCGTTTGTGTGCATGCCCAAGATCTCGAGAGGAGAATGGAGAAGGGACTGTGGCATTGCTTTCGGTCTCTCTGTCTCTCTCTGTCTTTCTGGCAAGCGCACGTGCCCTATAGCAAAACTTCTCAAAAAAAAAAAGAAAAAAGAAAAAAAAAAGAAAAGGAAAGAAAAATAGATGTAGGAAGTGACCGTAGTTTGGTCAGCTGACTAAACCAAACCACCACTTTCCATTTGTGCTCTGCCTTTCCATAAAGATGTGTCTAGTAAGTGCTTCTCCAGTGCAGGTGCGATCAGAACTGGCAGCATCAGCACCATCTGGAAACTGTTAGGGCTACACTTGTGTGTGTGTGTGTGTGTGTGTGTGTGTGTGTTGTGTGTGTGTGTGTGTTTTGTTCTGTTTTGCTGTAGGGCACATGCACTCACCAGAGGGAGACAGAGAGAAAGAGAGAGAGGGAAAGTGAGAAATCAGCCCCCAGGCGTATGGACGCATTACAATTCCTTACCCTCCACTCTCCTCTCAGGATTTTGGGCACACACATGTGTGAACCTGGCATTATTTTCAAGCCGCCAGGTCTGGGACTTGAAACTCATAGCTGGTCATGTGGGATCCAGCACCTTAACTATCATGCCACCTTCCGGCTCTACACCTTTTATTTAACGTAAAGAATTTTTTTAAGTTTTGCTATAGGGCATGTGTGAGAGAGAGAGAGAGAGAGAGAGAGAGAGAAACCACCTCCTAGGGTGGATGACTATGTTACAAATCCTTTTCCATTCTCCTCTTGGGATTTTTGCACACATGCCTGGCATGTTTTTCAAGCTGACAGGTCTGAGACTCAAACAGCATGGTCAGCCATGTGACCTAGCTGCCTTAATCACCACACCACCTGGCTGGCTTCTAATTTTATTTTTTAATTTGTCAAAGGGCATGTGTGCTCACTGGAGACAGGGAGAAAGCACCCTCTATGGGGGACGGTCATGCCACAACTCCTTCTCCTCTACCTCTCCTTCCTTTCAGGATTTTGAGCATGCACACATACCTGGAGTGATTCTCAAGTGCATGGATCTGGGCCCTGATCAGCAATGTGGGATCCAGTGTTTTAACCACAACACCACCAGCTGGCTCAGGACTACACATTCCTGTCTGCATCCTGCTACCCTCTAGCCCTATCACGCTGGAAATTCTGGGGGCAGGTCCCAGTATTTTGTATTTCAACAAGCCCTCCAGGTGATTCTGATGCATGCTCAAGTCTAAGAATCACTAGTCTTTAGGGGTGCAATGTTTCTGACTAATTGGTATGCATATCCAAACTAAATATTATCTCTTTTTTGTCATTAGTTTAGAAATAGTCTTATTTATATAGTCCTTGGCAACTGTGGCTTGCAAGCACCATTCACAAATCTGCATTATGGATCCCCAAAAAGGACTTGAGGATTCAGTATGTTCGAGTTTAAATTACCTTTCTTTTTCCTGGAACATCTCCCAGGACAGGTGTCCTGGGGCCTGGTTTGGGAAACTCGTCCCTGGGCCTCAAGGTCTCTGTCTGAATTCTAATATGTTGATATCTGGGCACCAAGCAACACTGATTATCTTAGCTTTCCAAGATTTATTTTCTTTCTTTCTTTCTTTCTTTCTTTCTTTCTTTCTTTCTTTCTTTCTTTCTTTCTTCTCTTTCTTTCCAATGATGAGGGTTCTTTAGACACTTCTCACTCAGGAAAACCAACATTCTGATCTTGTGCATTAGTCCTACTAATTTTCTTGCAACACAGAATTATTTTGGAAAGATTTTATTGTTGTTTTTCTTTCAGAATATATATATTTTCCTTTCATAGAATGGAGAAGTCAAGAGTTGTGGCCCCCATTTTACAGATGGAGAAAACGAGGTCCATGGGATACAGTGCTGGCCTGAGGCAACACAGTTAGTAATGAAGGAAAAGAAAATGCAAGACTCCGATCCTGAGCCACAGGCAGGATATATTCTGTCTCATCTAGTTACAGATAAAATCCAGAACCTTCTCCTGAGAACCACCCTCCTCCTTAGCTCACAGAAGATTATAAGAATGACCGAATATCTTGGGACCAGCAGTTAGCTTAATGGCTATGTCGCTGGACTCCCACGTAGTCGACCGCGGTTCACATCCCGGACCCGGTAGCTTAAAACTCACGCTGGGCGCGTGTGCGTGTGTGCCCAAGATCCCGAGAGGAGAATGGAGGAGAAGGGATTGTGGCATGGCCATCCCCCCTTGGGGGTGATTTCCTGCTTTCTATCTCTCTGTCTCTATCTGTCTGGCGAGGGCACACGCCCTATAGCAAAAACCTCTCCAAGAAAAAAAAAAAAAAAAAGAATGACCAAATATCTTTAAGGAGCTGAAGTAAATACAGTAGATCTGGTTTGATAGATTATTTACAATGTAATCCCAGCAAGATTTCTTGCCCTGGTGATAAGGGCTTGTAAACTGAATTCTACAAAAATAGAGACTAAAATCATTGTGTGTTTCTTTGGAGGTAGCATTTGAGGGAGGATGTTATAAACAAAGAGTAGTTGTTGCTAGGGAGATGGATTATCTCTGAATTTTACAGATGCCTTCACTGCAGTGGTTGAAGTTTTTGTTTTGTTTTGTTTTTTGATTTTTTGCCATAGGGAGGGCACCACCATGCCTATTGAAGTTTTTTTTTTTTTTATCCATTCATTCATTTCTTCCATGAGAGAAAATGTAAATGTATGTGTGTGTGTATGTGTGTGTGTGAGAGAGAGAAAGACAGAGAGAGAGAGAGACAGGCAACACCAACAGGGTTGCAATCCTCATGTTGCAATCCTCCCTGAGTCTCAAATGGCCTGGATCTCAGACATACATCTGCCCACTGTGTTCAGGGAGGTCCCAGCACTCGAACCCAGGGCCTTTCCCATGTGAGTCCAGTTGCATTATTGCTGCAACACTGCCTGGCCCCAGTGGTTGAAGATTTTCTGCTCCCCTCCCCAGCCCTGTGCAGTCAGATCAGAGGGCAAATCTTTCAGGACTATTTTCCTACTCCCAGAACCCCTTCCTTAAGTGCCCAGTAAAAAATACCTACCCCAGAGCTTCATTTTTTTCATTCAGATCAATTATTGTCTTCTTCAGAAGCTCTACTTCATTATCCAGCCTTATAATTTTCATTCGTATTTTATTTATCTCAGAAAGATTTAATCTCCGAGCATCGGTCACACATTCTTAAAAGTAAGTGAAAATGTCATTAAATTATGTGAGAAAGAACACAATCGTAGATACTGACTTTTTGAATCATGGAAAAAAATGTCTCTTTTGGAAATATTCTTCTAATTATATTATTGTATCAAACACCTTCTACTTACCCCTTTGGTGCCTCTCGATCTCACTTCTTCTTATTCTTTTTTTGGGTGCTGCTATGGTGACCAGCTTTCCTTGGGCTCTGAACTCCGAACAGGTACAGTCTGACAGCACTGAATCCTGCTTGTTCCATGCACTTCTCACCTCCTGCCTAGGACTTCTGTCGCCTCCACCATGGGGCTCCTTTTCCTACCCTGATCCATGCACGTGCAACCCAGAAGTGCAGGAGGGAAGGCCAATATTGGACCAATGATGGGATAGAGGCAGTGCGTAAGTATTTCCTCCCTTTCCCAGACTGCTGTGCGGTCCTGAGTCGAGGTGACACTGTCTTGGAGACATGTTCTCATAATTAGTTAGTTGCAGTTAGCAGCAGCCGACATCATAATGTATCCTATATTGGCTTTCCCTTCTCCTTGACTTTGTTCTCTTACTCTACCGTGCTCTTTGGATTGTACTCCCTAATGAAACAGTCAAGAGGCATTGCCCTTGGCTCTGCTTGCTGGGAAATTCAATGTATTACAGAACAAATTGTTCATCAGTAAATAATGAATTAGTCCAAGGCACATAAGATGTCAAGGGATCATCTGACAGCGTGATGGACAGACAGTCAACATGCATGAATTTTTGAACATTGCTGTTTAGAAAGGTGCTGGATTTTTCATCTCTACACAACAAATTTCTCAGAAAATAGTTGGTAGTTCTAGAGGAGAAAGTAGGCTATTTTTTTTTCTAGGCTACTATCAATAGTTAAATTGTTCATTATAGCAGGGCTTTTCAAATGTTGTTTCTCACATATTCATATATATCACCTGGAGATCTTGCTAAAAATGCAGATTCTGACACAGTGTATCTGCAGTGGGTCTGAGATTCTGTTTTTAACAAGCTCTCAGGTGCTGCTTATGCTGAGATCGCACTGAGTAGCAAGGCTTCACCACATAAGGCCAATTCCATGTACTTGGTTAAATATACAGCACATAGCAAATTCCTAATAAGGTAATATCATTGTTTTTCTTCTAAAATATCTTTCCTAATTATAAAAGAAACCCAATTTGGAAAATAAAGAAAAACAACTAAAGAAAATAAAGCAAAAGCATTCTTTATTCTGCCTTTGTTGCAGATTTTTTCTAAGTCTTATTTTTTACCTCTGAATATATAGTTTGTTAAATTTCTTTTTTCCTATTGAGCTAGACTAAGACCAAGCATATTGTTTTATAACCTGCTATATCATTCCAGGGTCCAATTAGGAGATACGCATCTCAGTAAATTGAACAGAGTATGTTTACTAGAAAGACTTAGAAACTACATCAGAGGATTAGAATCATGAGGAGTGAATAGTAAGAAGTGAAAAGAACTCTCAGGATCCCAGGGAAAGCAGACAGAAGGAGCAGCTGCTCCCCTAAGGCTGAGACAGCATGCTCTAAGAAGCAGCACATTCACATCTAAGAACAGGCCCTCATCAGAGATGACTGTGGCTTACCGAACGGGGAAGAACTACATAACATGCTGGGCTGGTAGAACTTGTTGGAAATGTACTCTCTGGAACGTTGCGGGAACTTGTTCACAGGAAAGTACCATACTTCAGAACTCATTGCAAAACTACCAAAGGGGGTGCCAGAGAAGCTGTTCTTGGAGAAGTGCCTCACTGGCAGCTCTCCACCATGAAGCTACCCAGGGATTCTGGGGGAAACTGCTGGAGACTATGGATTGCCAGATGCTGCGAGAGTCTGGTGTGGAGAAGCAGCATGCCCTGCCACAGTCTGCCAAGCTGAGCACACTGAAACCAGAAAGAGGATCCCTTCCTACTCCAGTATCCCTCAAGTGCCTTGTACTGTCGATGTTTAACATCGTAGCAGCTGTGAAAGGAGCAATTCTATGGAATCTAGTTCCATCATCACAGAGCAGACAATGAAGTGTAGATTTAGAGCTAAGAGGCAATAAGTGGATAATTAAAACCTCTACTTAAGGGGCCAGCAGGTGGTATGGTAGGTTAAGGCACTGGACTCCCATGGCTGACTGCAGTTTGAGTCCTGGGCCTGGTGCCTTGAAAGTCACACCGGGTACATGTGCATGTGTGCCCAAAATCCCAAGAGGAGAATGGAGGACAAGGGATTGGGGCATGGCCATCTTCCCTGGGGGGGGTAATGTCTCACTCTCCTTTTCACTGTATCTCTCTCTTTCTCTCTCCATCCAGCATACACACCCTATGGCAAAAACCATAAAGTTAAAAAAGAAAGAAAGAGAGAAAACAAAACCTTTTACTTAAAATATTATTTACTTATTATGACCACTCTTTTTTGCTCAGTACCCCAGGGAAACAGATTCTAAAATTTTTGTGTGAAAAACATATTGTGTGGTGACCACATAAATATCTTCTCTAAGGTAAGAAAAGGAAGCAGGGCTGAGAAGAGGAGGAGTATCAAACTGTGGTGTGCTCTGAAGCTGTGAGGACACATCACAGATATGCTACACTGAGGCAAGGCTGTAGACCCTCAGTGACCAATCACTGAATGTAGGTGGCACTTTGTTAGAAATATAATCTGGGTGAAGCATCTCTTTTTGTTGAGGGCAATTTCTGGAGAGGAACACAACTGTGAGACTCAACCAACATTTCTGGCAACTGGGGAAAAGAAATTGGATTTTATACCAAATATAAATTTAACTCAAATTAGGTCAAAGTCCTACATGTCAGAGCTAAAACTGAGAAACTCTTAATAGAAAACATAGGGAATACTTCACAATATTAGATTTAGCAATGATTTCTTGGATATGATACCAAATGCACAGGCAAAAAAAGGGAAAAATATAGGTAAACAAATTAGACTATATTGAAATTTAAAACTTTTGTACATCAAGGGTCAATATCGACAAAGTGAAAAGGCAACCCATGGAATGGAAGAAAATATCTTCAAATTGTATATTTAATGAGATGTTAACATTAAGAATACGAAAAGAATGCGTACAATTCAACAAGACAACCCAACTAAAAGTTGGGCAAAGGCCTTTAAGAGACAGTTCTACTGAGATATACCAATGATCAATAAATGCATGAAAAGATGTTCAGTATCATTTGTCTTTAGGGAAATACAAGTCCAAAATCACAATAAGGGGGCCAGCTGGTGGTATGGTGGTTAAGGTGCTAGACTCCCACATGGCCTACCACAGTTCAAGTCTTGGATACAGAGGTGTGTGTACGTGTGTGGCCAAAATCTTGAGAAGAAAATGGAGGAGAAGAGATTGTGGCGTGGCCATCCCTCCCTTGGGGGTAATTTCTCACTTCCCCTCTCTCTGTCTCTCTCTCTAGTGAGTACACACACCATATGGAAAAAGCCATAAAAACAAACAAAGAAGCAAAACCAAAAAAAACCAAACCATCCACTGGGATGGCTATCAAAAACAGACAAACAAAATACCAGAAAATAAGAATTGGCAAGGATGCAGAGCAACTAGAACTCTTACGCATTGCTGGTGTCAATATAAAATGATACAGCCATCGTGGAAAACAGTGTGGTCGATCTTCAAAAAATTAAATGTTTAATTATTATACAGTCCAGCATTTCCACTTCTGCACAGACATCCAAAAGAAAAAAAAGTAGGAATTTGAATAGATATTTGGACACACACCTTTATAGTCACATTATTCACAAGAGCCAAAAGGAAGAAACAATTCAAGTGTGTATCAACAGATGAATGGATAGACAAAACATGGCCTATACATACAGTGAAAAATTATTCAGCCTTAAAAAGGAAAAAATAATTTCTCACATGTGCTACACTATGAACAAACCTTAGAGTCATTATGCCATGTGAAATAAGCTAGTCACAAAAGATGAATATTGTATGACATCACTTATTTGAGGGGCTCTTCAAAAAGTTGGTGGAAAATATGCCTTATTTTTACTATATGTAGATTTAAATTTTTTCTTTCAGTAAAACAAACTTATACTTGAACCCCATTTTTTCATAAAGTTTTTAAGTCCCTTCACATGAGATAACTAGAGTAACTAAACTCATAGAGACCGAAAGTAGAGTGGTAGCTCAGGGCAGCCAAGCTGCCTGTTAATTGTAAAAATATCAATTGGGAATGAGTTGATTAATATATCTTTAGTCTTTATAGAAACTGAATTATATAAACTCAAAATTTTCTGGTCCCCCCCAACCCCAGAGAGAAAGAGAGTGAAAACATCCTCGTAATGGGTGTGATCATGACATAATTCTTTTTCCACTGTTTCCCCATACCATTACGATTTGGGATATGCATGCACATGTGCCCAGAATGATTTCAAGCTTTTGGAGCCATAATTCCAACTGCGGTTGGCCATGTGGGATCCAGCTCCCTGTGCACAGCACTTAACCATTGTGCTATCAGTCCAGCTGGTAAATTTAAGTTTTTATAAATTTTCTACTGAATATGTAAGGGAAAATTACTATCACTGTGTTTATGCCCTCTATTATTTTAAACTATAATTACATAAGCAATAACTATGAAACTCATCTTGTTTGAAGTATTTGGGTCTGTGTTGTATAAGATAAACTACGTCTGCCGAGTTGATAAACTCTCAAATACCTTCCAATTCCCTGCTCATGATATTGGGAAGAGTCTCCAAAAGAAAATAGAGTCTGCTGAATTCCATGCTTTCAATTTCCAGAAGATCAATTGTCTTTTTTCTCATTTCTTCCTGGAAATTTAAATTATATTTGTTAAAAGTTATTAAATGTAATCATTGACTTCCTAGACAGTGCTTTATACATATTTTCCAGAGTCAAAATTAAATTTTCATTAAACATTTTTCTGTTGTTATTTTTGTGTGGAACAGAGAGAAGGGAAAAGCATTTACTATATAATCTGTTTTTAAAATGTCATTGTTAAATTGCTTTGAAATTTCTCCTGATTTCCTTCTACTCCAAAATCATTTTTCTATGTGTATCTGTTTCTTATATGCAATTTCAATCATTTTGGAAGAAAAGACTCCAAAACAAGTGTAATATTGAGAAACACCTTACTTATTGAAAAATGAAAATTGGTCTACAAAATATGCTTCCATATAAAGAGAATGATCATTCTCTTACACATACCTACAAATCTAGGTGAGGAGATGTTTTTTATCTGCTTTTAGGTAAAGTTCCTTCAAAAGAGGAAAACCACTAAAATTAAGTTAGTGGACACATAGTTTAATCATCTTTAAATAAATGGCCACAATGGTTATAGCTATTTTATAACCTGAGAAATTGCCATTATGTTTTATGAATTTTAAAAAGCAGACTACACAATTGTATATATCATATATATAGCATGATCACTTTTTTGTAAAAAAAAAAAAAAGATTAAACTCAACACAGGCATCACCTATACCCTGAAAGCAGAAAGGATATTCATCAAAGAGCTTATTGTGACTAGTGGATCATGTGGTTTCCTTCTTTTTCTTTTCTCTCTCTCTCTCTCTCTTTTTTTTTTTTTTTTTTTGCCATAAGGCATATGTGCTCGCTGAAGACAGAGAGAGACAGTGAGAGGAAAGTGAGAAACCACCCCCTAGGCCAGATGGCCAGGCTGCAATCCCTTGTCCTAGGATTTTAAGCTCGCTCTCTCTCTCTCTCTCTCTCTCTCTCTCTCTCTCACACACACACACACACACACACACACACACACACACGCCTGGTATGATTTTTAAGTTGTTGAGTCTGGGACATGAACTACACTAGACCATGTGGGAGTCCAGTGCCTTAACCACCATGCCATCTGCTGGCTCTAGTTTCCTTTTTCTTATCTACCTTTTTCTAAATTTTCTAGAGTAGACCTTTATTCCTCTTACAAAAGTGAAAAATTATTAATTTTTAAAGTAGAGGGATTTATCTGTTATTTAAGAGATTTCATAGGTCAAATATTAAATGGATACACACTAGGTAATTTAGCCACAATAAATATTGTGACCCCTGCAAATCTTGGAGAAAACACAACTGAAAGAACCCAGCAGAGGGGAGATGGTTTCCACAGGAGCTCAGTGCAGCTCAGCACACACGCGCTCCAAGTGCTCACACACCAGTAAAGCATTACCAAGTATGGTTATGTAGTTTATAGATGTAAGGGCATATAATTATATAAAATTATATAAAAAGATACAGTATATAGTAATGAGGTTTTTATCAGCAGTTTGTAGATAAACTTTTTTACCAGCCATGTTTCTACATTTTTAGATACTTCATTTGCAGTAGATTTTTGTTCAATATTTTAAAATCAAATGAAGAGACTTCACCATTCTGATCACATCAAGGATATGCTGTAAACACCATCAGAGGGAAACATGGCTGTGACATCTCAGAAGGAAATTCTTTAAATATACCTTCAACACATTTTTGATAGTGGCTAGGTTAGGGTAATTAAGAGAGTTTCTGCGGCTGGCCCCATGGTCTGGTGGTTCAGGCATCAGGATTCCATATGGCTGACCATGCAGCTCATTCGTGTCACCGTACCTTGAGAAACACACTGAATATGCATGCCCAAAATTCTGAAAGGAGGGAGAGATGGAGAAGGGATTCCTGTGTGACCACTCCCCATGGGAGGTACCTTCTTCTCTCTGTTGCTCTCTGACAAGCATAGGCACTCTCTAGCAACAACAAAAAGGTTTGTTTTTCTTTTCACTAAAAGCTACAGTCTTCTTCAGTGAAACAGATGTCAAGTAATCTTTCCTCAGTTAAGCAAGGAATTGCTTATAGAGAACTGAGCTAAGTGGCACCATGCATACAATTTATTCTAGAGACTGTTTAAAGCGATGCTTACCTAGTGATGTCCTAAGGTTTTGCCCATGTGGCCCACCCATTAACTGAGTTCTGCTATTACTTATTCTCCTTTTCCTAAATGACTTTGTTCTTATCTGCAGCACAGGTTTGTAATTCAGTTTTCTGCATGGAAAATTGGGCAACAATCTACAGTTGATCAACACTGGTGCAAATGCTTAGAAAAGATTTTAAACCCAAGCTAAATGTTTTCCTTCATTTAAGTGTCTTGAACAAAGTTGGTGCTAAATTAAAGTTTGAAGAAATAAGTAGAAGAATTGAAATACAAGTTCTTATGGATAATACAATACCAATTTCTTAACAGCTACAGCAATGTCCTTAAGAAAGATTCGGGCTTCTTCATTGCATTTAAAATAGTCATTTTGTAGTGATTGTTCTGAAAAATAAATGAGAAAGTTAAGATTTTTTTAGTGTAGCCATCTAAATCCTACTTAAACCTTTATAACCTAGAGCAGATGTTTACTTGGCTGGCGGTTACATCTTCTGTCTCTGGGTTTCTATTGTCCTTTACATGAATCTCTTTTGTACTTGTTTCCTATTTCATAGTATCCTAATTTAAGTACATTTTATGCTCCTTGATGACAAACTGCCCTTAAGATTTTTCTTTCCATCTCTTGTATTAGAAAGAAGGCATCTTTATTGCATAAGACAAAAATTAATATTTATATAAGGGACAAGTCTAATATACCCATGAGGTAGGTTTGACTAAGAATAGTTTCATATGTATACATTTATATAATAATTATAATATGATATTTTGCCAAAAACACACATTTAACTAACTGCTAAAAACAAATGTCATTTTTAAAATTTCTGTATAAAAATGTGATGTATGAGATGAAATGAAATATTTGTAAAACTGGTAGGTGTAAAGTAGACAGAGGTTTTTTTTGAGAGAGATTTTTGCTCTAGGGCACATGCACTCACGAGAGAGAGAGAGACAGAGAGACAGAGAGACAGAGAGCTAGAAAATGAAAACTCGAGAAATCACCCCTCAAGGGGAGGGCCATGCCACAATCCCTTCTCCTCCATTCTCCTCTTGGGATTTTGGGCACACGTGCACCCAGTGTGAGAGTCAAGCGGCAGAGTTTGGGACTTAAACTACGGTTGGCCACATGGGAGTCCAGTGCTTTAACCAGCACATCACCTGCTGGCTGCAGTAGACAAAGATTTTAAACCTTTTGATTCATTGGCATACTTAGCATGATGTCTTTCACATTCTGTGAGTAGGAGCTACTTGAAAGGAGAGGCTCATGAAATGCTAGTAAAGGTAATGAAGATAAGATACATGTAGTAATGGAAAGAAGGAAGGAAATAAAAAGTATAAAAAGAAGAAAAGAGAGGTAACAGTTTTTGTTGCCACTGCATTCCATGGACATTGTCTAACTGGATTCCTGGCCTGTGTCTTCATGCGTCAGCTGAGTTAGATGTGATCGTGTTTTACATGTATTATCTAAATTGATTCTTCTGACCTTATAATGATTCCTGACTCTTAGGTACCAAATAGAAGACTTTTGAGGTCACATCATACATGCAAAATCGTAAGTCTGATCAGTGGTAGAGTCTGGATTCAAAGCCACGTGGTGTGACTCTAGGCCTCATATTCTTAACAGCAATATTTCTCTCTCAGAAGAGTAAAAAGTAATGTCTGCCTTAAGTTCCAAGGAACTTAAGATTCCCATATCGAACTAAGCTTTCAAACCGAGGGAAAAGCAGTTTCTGAGTCTGCAAGCATTGACTGCCATCTCCTCTACTTTTCTCTGTGGAATGAATGAGCATGAACTTTATCTGGCTTGCAAATGTGCTAAAGAGTAACATGTTTTCTCACACTCAGAGCAAGAAGGCCTAATGAAGTTTTCTCCTTTGCCAAACTTTCTGAGGGTCCAGAAATTATTAGGAAAAAATGTATTTGTGCGTTAAGTACTAAGATGGCCTAGAGATCAAGCATGAAGGAGTTTAAGACCCTATCATTGATAATGGCCTTGGATACATGAGAATAACTTAGGTCTTTCCGGCGATGTTATGATTTGGAAGATGGTTTGTCCCCCAAAGTTTCATATTTTGGAATCTGATGTTGAGAGGTGGTGAGTGAGACCTAGTGGGTGGCGGGTGACAGGATCATGATGATTGCATTATGGCAACAACAGTCTTATGAATAGATTAATGATGTCTCAGGAGATCCAGAGAGTTCTAGCTTGTGTGAGAAGAGGTTAGTTATCCCAAGAGCTGATAGTTCTAAGAGAGTGTGAGCTGTGGGCAGCTCTCCCGCTCTCTGCCTGCCATCTTCTACGAGTCTGTCAGTCATGCTGTACTGTAGGCTGGCCTGAGGCTACCTATGCCTTCAGACTTTCCAGCACCAGAATTGTGAGTCAAAACAGATCCTTATTCTTTTTAATACACCCAGTCTCAGATATTTCTGTTAGCAACACAATACGGACTAAGATTAGTGGTTAACATTCTTCATGACAATACTTACCCAAGTCAATCTGGTAAGAATTGTGAAATTAAATTACTTTGTCCAGGAAGGAAAAGATGAACTATCTCAAACTAACAGTCACATTGTAACAGAATCAATATGACTATCTTCAAGCAATGAGATGATTACAGTGAAGCAATGAGCTGTTGTTTGGCCTAAAATGGTGTTTGTGCTGAACAAGAAATGCCCTTTCTTGGACTATGTCTTATCTTAAATTTAGGTGACTGGATTACAGGTTCGGATTTCTAACTGAAGTTTATTTCTGTTCACATGTGCTAAATATTTTTAAAATGTAATTTTCATGGCCTCATATTAATACACAGGAGCTTCTAAAACACTTCCTTTCCTATTTTCGTGTTAATTCTCCAGGTCGCCATGACAAATGTGGGAAGAAAGGAACTTGCGAAGGAAAAGCAAGGAAGAGAAACGCGGGTGGGTACTCGGGTCGCGGGTAAGAGGCAGTGTCCTGGGAATCAGGGATGTGTCACTAGCTATTAACGTGAGCTGGATCAAGTCACCCAGCTTCACTAGAGCAGGAGAGCTGTGCATTGGGTCCCAGACGCCATCTCTCTCTCCCCAGCCTCCGAAGAAGGCTCTGCCCTGGTCCGGGGTGCCCTCGGTTCCGGAAAGAAGGCTGCAGATAAGCGCATCCTAAGCGCCACCTCTGGGGACAGCTCTCCCCGCGCCCGCGGGGCTCTCACCCACAACCAAGAGCTGCTCCAGCGCCGCGGCCGCCACCGAGGAGCCCAAGGCGGCGGGAAGCCCAGGGTGGCGGGAAAAGTGAATAACTCCAGGGAGGCCCCCGTGGAACCGGCGGCCGCCCGCGCCACCTTCTCGCCGATCCCTGCTGGGCTCCCTGGGCTCAGGGCCATTTTGGGCTGCGGTCAGGCGCTTCTGAGGCCAGTGAGTAGGTCCGCCGGTTGCCAGGGGCAACGAGATCGCTGAGGTCCTCCGGCGCCCCCTGGTGGTCGGCACCGAGGTGGGCTCCCTCTCGGGTTCTCTAACTTTACAAGAATTTAGAAGGTCCTGGAAGGATGTCTCCTTTCCTGCTTTGCATTTCCATTTCTGTAGTTCAGGTCTTCTACCTTCCTCGTGCACCACATCCTCTGACCACTTCGAACGCGCCTCTGTGCCGAGTACCGCAGGAGGACCTTGGAAGACAGCAGCTCACTTAATCTTCATGGTGGCTTTGTGAGGCAGGTTCTTGGATTATCTCCACTTTTACAGAAAAGGGCACTCAGGTGTGTATGAGAAAATGAACTGCCCAAGGCCATAGGAGAATTACAGTCGAGTCCATATGAATCTTTCTACTGTGCTACAAACTGGTCTCCTGTATTCTTTAAAACTCTCAAGCTTGGATCTGTTATGTCAGTGAGCACATTTTGCCCCAAATTATAGTGATTTTCATCTCTGCCCGTTTCTCCATCAAACTGTGAGCTCTTTGAAGACAGGAATAGAGTAACCTGTGAGCTCTTTGAAGACAGGAACAGGGTATTATTTATTTATCTCTGCATCTCAAAATCCAGCTACCATCAGGCTCAGTTGGAATATAATTGGTAGTTTCTGTTCCAGTCTGTTCTAATTAACAAAAATGCCTGCGTCTGGGTAAGTTAAAATAATAGAAGTTTACTTAACCGGGGTTTGGAGGGCCACAGTTCAGGGTCACATCTGGTGAGGGGCAGGAGCTTGACCATGTCTGTCTCATTCCCTGTCCTTGTAAACCCACCAGGATTCAATCATGGGAACCCCACCTTAAGGTTAATCACTTCCCTTAGACACCCCCTTTCAACACCACAATCAGGTTACACCTCAACTCTCTGCCATTACAGTGGCTCACTAAGGTTTTTTTCTCCAAGAATTACCTACTTATTTAATTCTATTTGTTATTATTATTTTTTAATTTGATGAGAGAGAAAGGAAAAATGAGAAAGCAAGCCACCAGATCCAGGACTTGAATTATGGTCTGCCCTGTGGGAGTCCAGCACTTTAACAAATGAGCCATCAAAAAATTTGAGAAGGAGGTTGCTGAGATGGGAAAGGGCTCCTTCAAATACAGTTGGGTCTTGAATAAACTGAAAGCTGAACATGAGCGTGTTGTCACCATTGATATCTCCCTGTGGAAATTTGAGACCAGCAAGTATTATGTGACTGTCATCGATGCCCCAGGACACAGAGACTTTATCAAGAACATGATTACAGGCACATCTCAGGCTGACTGTGCTGTCCTGATTGTTGCTGCTGATGTTGGTGAATTTGAAGCTGGTATCTCTGAGAATGGGCAGACCTGTGAGCATGCCCTTCTGGCTTACACACTGGGTGTGAAACTAATTGTTGGTATTAACAAAATGGATTCTACTGAGCCACCCTATAGTCAGAAGAGGTACGAGGAAATTGTTAAAGAAGTCAGCACCTACATTAAGAAAATTGGCTACAACCCCAACATGGTAACATTTGTGCCAATTTCTGGTTGGAATGGTGACAACATGTTGGAGACAAGTGCTAATATGCCATGGTTCAAGGGATGGAAAGTCACCCATAAAGATGGCAATGCCAGTGGAACCACACTGCTTGAAGCTCTGGATTGCATCCTGCCACCAACTCGTCCAACTGACAGGCCCTTGCATCTCCCCCCCCAGGATACGTACAAAATTGGTGGTATTGACACTGTCCCTGTGGGCCGAGTGGAGACTGGTGTGCTCCAACATGGTGTGGTGGCAACCTTTGCACCAGTCAATGTGACAACTGAAGTCAAGTCTGTTGAAATGCACCATGAAGCTCTGAGTGAAGCTCTTCCTGGGGACAACATGGGCTTCAATGCAAGACCGTGTCTGTCAAAGATGTTCAACATGCCAGTGTTGCTGGTGACAGTAAAATGACCCACCAATGGAAGCAGCTGGCTTCACTGCTTAGGTGATTATCCTGAACTATCCAGGCCAGATCAGTGCTGGCTATGCTCCTGTACTAGACTGTCACACAGCTCATATTGCTTGCAAATTTGCTGAGCTGAAGGAAAAGACTGATCGCCATTCTGGTAGATGGCAGGAGACAAAGAGTTGAGAAGAGCTGGAGGATTTTCCATGGAATGTCAGCCATGCACACATTTTCCAAACTAATATTTATCACCCCAGCATCAGCCAGCTGGCTGGGTGGGCCTTTTTTAGGGGCTGCAAAGGAATCAAAGTAGCTTCTGGCATCAAATAAAAAGGACATCTTTGTCTTCCTCTGTTATATACTTAGGATCTCTCCAGTTTTGCTTTTGTTTTTGTTTTATCTTGTTTTGTTTCTTTTAGAGAGATTCTTTGCTATAGGGTGTGTGCACTTGAGGACTTGAGGGAGAGACAGAGAGACAGAAATTGAGAACTCACCTCCCCCGGGGGAATGGCTATGCTGCAATCCTTTCTTCTCCATTCTCCTCTTGGGATTTTTGGCACGCGTGCACACACACCTGGCGTGAATTTTAAGCAACCAAGTCTGGGACTTCAATTGCAGTCGATTATGTGGGAGTCCAGTGACATAACCATTGAGCCATTTGCTGGTCCGAGATCTCTCCAGTTTAAGCTTTCAAGTCGGCTTTATACCTTGAAGGTCTACAGAGTGTTTGTACATTAGACAAAGATCCTATACCTTTTGGGCTTCTCATGGCTTCTAAAATACTTGTATTTGGTCTATAACTCTTAGTTACAGTGACTAGCACACAGTTGTGATAAAATGGCAGGAAGATCATGTCCCTTATGTAGAGCCAGATTGTTAGAGACACAAACAGATGGATTCGAGCCCCAGGTGGGAGTGAGCCAGACAAGGAAAGCAAGACATCTTTGAAGCAGGGTAGGCCATGTCAGTGTTTGTAGTAACACCCAATTAGCAGGCTTCCTTTGCAACTGTCTCTTGACTACTTGTTTTTATCCCTCATCAGCAATTTGTTGAGGCTAAACAGATTTGGGACAAATACTGGTGGATTTCTTTTTCTTTCTTTTTTTAAAAGGGGAAATCTTCAGTACACTATTTATGATGACTTGAAAGTGAAATTTAAATTGCATATTTACGTCATCATGCCAATACAAACAGCTCAAAGGAGTTGGATACAGAGGATTTAGTCTTTTAAAAGTCTTTTAAAGATAAACTTACATATTCCGATTCAAGAAGAGATCTATATTTTAAAAAGTTAACATTTTATTTTAACTGTTATATCTGATTTGGTTTTAGAACTGCTTTTGGAGTTAACCTCTCAGTCTCCAATCTGCATCTGTAAAATGGTTGGACTATGAAGATTAAGCAGAATGAGCATGAAGCAGAGGCAGAGGCTGACCACAGAGCAATGCTAAGTAGTTCCTTTTCTTTTTCTTTTACTAATGAAAAAGAAAAAAAACACACAAAATATCTCTTCTGAAATACAAATGTTACTGTCTTTATGCCATCTCTAGCCTGCCTTGGTTATTCAACTGAAAATTACTTTAGTTAAATGAACAGTCACCATCTCAGAGATGGGAAAATGATTTTATTTTCATGCCATTTCTACTGGGTAGCAGTGACTTCCAGAAAGGTTCCAAGGCCTAATCTTGGCACAGAAGGAAAGATGTTTATGAAAGTCCTGGAGAAAGTTGTGGCTGCACATGTGTCAGCATCAGACTCCCTGGTTCACAATCTATTGTGTGCCTACTGTGTGCTGGGCATTGTGCTAGGCACTGACATGTACTAAAGGGACCCCTAGGTGGCGCCAGAGAAAGTCCTTTGAGGAAGAGAGACCTGAGTATTGAGGTATCGAGATCTTCTCTTGTTACTTCCTTAATGAAGAAGAAAAAGAGGGAAAACAGAAGCATGAAAAAAAGAACGGGGTGGGGGGGGGATCCGACAGGTGTCATGGTGGTTGAGTTGATGGACTCCCACATGGCCAACTGCATTTGAGTCTCGGACCTGGTGACTTGCTTTCTCACTTCATCTTTCTCTTGCTGTGAGCTCATGTGCCCTATAGCAAATTTTTAAAAAAAATTCATTAAATTAAATACACAATTCTAAAAACAACGACAACAAAACAAAACAAAATGGGGGGGAGGAGAGAGGTAGGAATCTGAAGATGCAGCTGCCTATCCTCATGGTATCTTCCTTTCCTAACCTCCCTCCCTATTCCAAGGACTAAGAGCTATTTTGTTTGGCCTAAAAGTTCATTTTTTCTAATTAATCCAGCTCTCTGAATAAACACATGGGTGAGACTTGGCCCTATCTTGGACAAAATAGTGTTGAAGCTGCAAAAAGAGGGAGAGTTTTGAAGCAGTTTATAGCCAGGTATAATTCCCTGTAAGACGCATGCAGTAACATAACTATTAATACCATACTACCCCTGCCCGCAGAGTCCTGCAGTTTTACAAAGTGTACACGCTCCCATGACTGCCACAGCTCTCCAGGTGATTATGACGATGATTTTATATTTCAGGAAATATAGAGGAGAGGAGAGATTCAACATCAGACAGTGGCACAGTCCTCTCCAGGCCAGAGGCACTGCCTGCTTTGCCAGCTGTCTTGTGACTGTGCCATCAGGCAGGGATGTGGCTGGGACAGGTGCAGGAGCAGGAGCCCTCTGGATTGTGAGGGATGCGAGGCCACGGAGAGGGTGGCCAATGAGCATGCGAGAAAAAGCTAGAGCCCAGTCAGAAATTTGAGTTATGATTTCACTGTCAAGGGCCTTGAATTCTACACTAAGGAGCTGGACTTTTGGCTGCAGGCTATGCTATGAATACATTGATGGGGAGCAGATTAAGTTGCTCCCTGCTGGCAGCTGCTGGCTAATTCAGTTTATTTCTGCCCAAAGTAATGTTTTATGATAGGATAGAATATCAATTACAGGCACTATAATTTTTTCAGCTGAGTATGTGCAGAGTAATCAGAAATTACACTGAGC